ATCCCCTTAACGCGAGAAATCTGACGCAATTACACATGTGCGTTTTATATGCGAGAATCGACAATGAAAGTTACACGCGCCTCCCCGATGTAGAAATTAGCGACCTTACATCTCGACGGCGCTCGTCTTACCACGATAACCCTCCTTTTAGCTCTCGTGCGATAGATCCTGGTTCGATTCGTCCTGAGTCCCTCACGCAGCTCTCGCTTCCTTTGCCACAGCACAAGTGCCGAGCGCTGATCCTTCCGAGGGTACGCAGTGATCGCTATTTCCCACGAGGGGGCCTAATCACGTCTAATTGGCGCGTGGTCCCGTGGCTCCGTGAATAGCGTGAGTTTTGTCGCCAGCGTATCCTACGTTCTGACGCGCGGAATTTGACTGGGCCGCAGGGTTTCTTCGGTCGCTTAGGAGACTCTCCCTGCCCTTTGATATATTCGCATCTCGGTGGCGGCGTTTCCGTAGTCGGTGCCTCCTCTCCCGATCGCGATTGCAACCGCTCAAAGGAGGTCTCCACGAGCTCCGCCGTGGGGTTCCTCGCCGACACTTGGGCGTAGAGTGGCCATCCCCGGCTGCTGCCCACGCAATCCCTTGGCCAAGTGTATCTGTAATTTTATGTAATGGAGCGACAGGTCTCGGAAGAAAGCGACAAGTATGAAAATGTGGAGCGACATCACCTGCTTGCTACCCTCCGTGTAGGATGCTGGGCGTCCCGGCCAATTTTTCCTCAGCCGTCCTGTCTCTGAATCCCGGTGCCGGCCGTCTTCCTTCTTCATCTAGGGTCCGGTGAGATGGCGCACAATTCACAAGATCGTAAGAGGGATCGCCAATTATCCTGTAAAACTCGTAGCACGATAGCACACGAAAGAACGACAAAAACCCGACGCAGAAAATCCGCGGGACGCACAAATAAACGAAACAACGTTAAAAGAGCACGCATGTGCGTCTGCCTTCTAAAAAGTGGAAGGACCCAGGACGCCAGCGGCGCTGTTCGGTCGAGTCTTACGACTCTTGTGACAGACGGAACAGTATGTATCATTACGATTTGCACTATAACTTATTAATTATCATTATAATTTTTATCAATTTTTATTATTATTACTCTTATTATTTTGTAATTATTAACAATTGACGTTAAGTTAAATTCTATCAAGTTAAATATAGATGACCATCGTCTTAATATTTATTTTGATATTACTATTATAAGACGATGGGGGTGGTAGTGGGATTTTTTAATTTAGTATACTTTAATGATACGCATTATTTTGATGAAAATGAGAAGACCTAAATGATATGTATATAGATGACCGTCGTTTTGATATCACTATACAAAATGCGTGATATTAGTACAAACTTATCCTTTTAAAAAAGGTAAAAGAAGGCGTTAAGTATACGTGCTTCTAGAATAAAACCTAAGTATTCAACTCAATTAATATAATAGCTTTAATTTTCCTTCAAGGATATTCATATTGAAGGTCTTCTTATTCCAACCCAAGTAATGGCAACTGCAATTTTCTGTCAAAAATTATTATTCTTCGAAAAAAATTAATGTATTAAATGAAAAATTAAAACTCAGATGCTACAATCTTAATTAATCAATTTAAATTCTATCAAATTAAAAAGTAAAACACAAATGATACTCTCTCTTGTTATTTATTCAGTACAAACTTACCTTTTTAAAAAAAAGATTAAAAAAGCGCTAAGCGTGCGTGCTTTTCGTAAAGAATCATATGGGCCGGTTTCGCCAATGCCAATTACTTAATTAGCCGTGGAACTAACTAATCGTGTTTGCTCTTTAGTAGAATTGATTACTTATGGTTGACAGTTAATCACCGATTCGGCTTAATCGAGTTGGTGAAAACGATCCTTTGTATATACAATATATAATATTTATATTTTTTGACCGTATATTTGAGAAACTCAATTAATACTAGAATGTAACTGCCTATTACGGTCGGAGCTGGATCTTCGTTGCTTTAAATAATTCAATCTTGAATTACTAATATATACTATATATGTACTT